CAGCAAGTCGGCTCCTCCTTGTGTTGTGTACCACACCTATTCATTCTGGTGTCACAGCTTTTCAGGCTTTAGGTAACTCTCTTAGCAATTCAGAGTAACTTAAAAGCAGCAATTCTGTGGATGTCCAGCCACTCAAACAAACCAGGTGGCTTTTAAACATCACAGTTATTATAATATTTATCTACTTCTTAATCATTTAACATGAAAAAAATGCTACCATTGTAGTCCGACTTTCCTTTGGGCCACCAGCAACAACAACACAGAGACTTATTATTAACCATGAAAGCTCAGCTTAGCTTAGGCTTTCCCCCAACTAGCTCTTATAACTTAAATTAACCTGCTTTTATTAATTTATGTTGTGCTACATGGCTTGGTTACTTCTACTCTTTACTGTATGTCCAACTTCTTCAGGGTCTTGCTGGTGTCTCTCCATGTGTCTGGATTCATCCTGAGTTCCTCTCTCTGCCTATTCTCTCCTGCCTAGCTATTGGTCATTTAGCTCTTTATTAAACTAATCACAATGACACCTCTTCACACAGTGTAAACAAATATTCTGCAATATTTCCCCTTTTTGTCTAAATAAAATGGAAAGGGTTTTAATTCTAACACAGTAAAACTACAGTAACAATTATCAGGTAAGAATTACATTCACAATGTCCAGTCCATTTGTATTTTGCAAATTCAAGAGAAACTATTCCATTAGCTATCCTCTCTTGATGAGTCCAAAATTTTGTACCTAATTTACTTTCTATTATTACTAAGGAAAACTGTAACTACAACTATCCAGTCTTCAACCCCATCAAAGGTCCAAGAAGGACATAATATTACCTGGGTAAACAGGAAGTGCAGAGCAAGCAACTTCTAAAACTAAGAATCAACAGAGACATTTGGCTACCTGGACAGTCACCCCAGGGTTCCTCTGCAACGTTGGGGTACCCATCTTCGGCCTGCAGGCCTAAAATATCTGACAGACTCTTCTATGATGCAGGAATTTTGAAGGACTGTCTCACCTTGTCATGGCAAAGTAAGGCAGTTGCCTTTATGTCCTGTTTGTCCAATTTGGACAGCATACTATCAGTAGTCAGGTAAATGCAGTTTCTTTGCCCAGTGGCTAACTTTGCCACAAATGAAAGCAAACTCCACATGGAGGTTTTTTGATGCCCATCATTCTTTTTTGAAGTGGACTGGTGCTATCAGGAACAGACATGTCTCACTGTTATAAAAAGCTTTATGTTATTAAAACATCTTAAATGTCATATTCTATAGGTCTCTCAAGAATTTGAAGACCACCTGTCTATCTAAAATATGTTTGACCTTAAAAACCTATCTAACATGACTGTAAATTTGATGACTAACTGCTAACCTGTATTTCTTAATTATCCTAAACAGTTTGTAATAAAGCTTTTAAGAACTAGAACTATATATTACATTTTTAAATGAGCTGTAGAGGTATAATACCTTAAACAAGAGTACAAACATATATACAGCATAACAAAAATAACCTTAAATTTCTATTAATATACAAAAATTCATACCAATGTAAAATATTTGAGATTAATAGTTGCTTTTTAGTTTAAAAGTAGATTAAATAATCTACCCTTTTATCCTATCATTCTTATACCAGTCTTATCATGTTCCTGTTTTCTTAACGTTTTGGGTTTTATACCCCAATTCCACTTCCTCCCAAGTCCCGCGATTTCCATACAAAACCTGTAACAACAGCTTTATTAAAAGTTCTATAATTGGGCAATGGTGGCGCATATCTTAAATCCCAGCACTCAGGAGGCAGAGGCAGGTGGGTCTCTGAGTTCATGACCAGCCTGGTAACTCTCTAGAATAACCAAACCAAAAAAAATTAAATTAAATTAAAAAACAAAAAACAAAAAACTAAGGCTTCACAGTCTCAATATTCTACTTTCAGGAATTTTAAGAAAAACTCTTGTCTTTCCCCCAAAAATTCACAAATACTTATTATATCCTAACAACAGCCTGATTGCTTTGATTTTCCAGTTGAGCACAGGGTTGACTGTTCCATTTAAGTTCTCTAGCCTGCCTGAGCCTCTAAGAAACAAAGTTCACAAACCTGAAGTTTCCTGTGTATCATTTTAGGGCTTTCACATTTTGACTATTTTTAACGTTTTCCAAAACACTGCCATTCTGATTTTACAAGGCCCTTTATTGTAGAGCAATTGGGCAGTCTTCAAGCCCATTACAAAAGGAGCCACAGACACTACATCTAAGTCAAAAAACACACTTAGTTACTAACTCAGTATTACTTTAAGTATGATTTGAATTTTACTTGCAGTCTCTATTCCCCACACTGATGCCAAGTTACCTTTAAATCACTCTGTCCCTAGCTTAAAAAAAGAAAAGAAATTAGACCCTCCTTTGCTACAGAAGAAAGGAATAAACTTTTAGCTTAGCAAGCACAGCCCTTCACAATCTAGGCTAGACATACCTTTGTAAGGCTGTTCTCAAGTCACTCCAGTGTTCAGTAACATCCTACCACTGGCCTTACCCTCAAACCTGATACCTGAGCACACGCACTGTTCCCTTTGTTTAGAATGATCCCCATCTCCAACCTGGCAAGCTTCTAGTCAAGTGTTACTTTTTTTAAACTGGCACCACACCCTTTGTAAGTTTAATCATTCTTCTGTTCCTTGGAGCACTTTGTGCACCCATTACTCCTACGCAGGACAGGAAGGCAGAAACTGAATTTGGTCACCTCTGAATTATCATCTACCTCAGGACCATCATGCTATTCCTTGATGTGCAGCTTAACAGAAAAATATACATGGACAAAATACAAGTAAAGCCCAGAGGGTAAAATTAAGGCAGCCTGAATCAGCCTCCATCTTAGATTCAAGTAATATTCTTTTCTTCTTTAATTACTTATTCAAACACCAAACTCCACTGCATTTCACTGTGCTCAAATGCACACCTGCTATGCATATATAGATTATACTTGGGTCTAGTCAGCACTTAACTTACAAGTAGTGTTTATTAATCATATTTCATTGTAACATGGCTACATTCATAGCCTGATAATGGGTACAATTAAGGAGAAATGTAAATCAACAAAAGATTTTGCAGATAAGGTTTCAAAAAATTAAAACCAGATAGGTGACTATATGTGGGCATTCTCAAAGTGACGGAAGATTTAAGCCAGAGCTTCCTAACCAGTGGATCTTGCACATAGCAGAGGGCTGCAAATGTATTGAAGATACTGCTCTCTCACTACACAAGGACCAAAGAACACAACTATAAGCTACCTCAAACATTTACTCCAGTATTATATATATATTACCTTTCTGGACTGCACTGTAAGAAAAAACTTAGTCAAAGTGCTGCACACTTTTAATCCTAGCCCTCCAGAGGCAGAGACAGAAGGACTTCTAAGTTTCAGGACAGCAGGGACTTAAGAGTCCTGACTTTTTATTTTTTTAAGTTAACATGGGTACAATGGGATGTCGAAACATTAACCAAAATACTAGTTAAAACTGCATGTATAGTATTTATTTGTAGTCAGGAACAAGTTCTGTACTCCAACCTCTGTTCAATCAAAAAACAAAACAAAAACCTGAAAATTCCCAGCAACTAGACACATTTAAGTTACACAAGTACTGACTTCCAAGGAGATATCACCAGTCACACAAGAAAATGTCTTTTTGTCACATACTTTTTGTCCATGTTAGCAAGCACCTTGTCCACCTAGTGAGAAACGGCTACAATGATCTATCTACCTTAAATAATATCTATTGGTTAAAACACTTCCTTCTCTAAAAACCAACACTTAATAACTATGCCACACTTAACATGTCTTCATGAACACACAAAGCCTGATATTTACCCTCATAACTAATAATTCTTTCAGGATTCAGTTTCCTTGTGGCATCGTAAGAGAATTAGACTAGACCACAAATTCCACGTAACTTTAACTCTAAAATTTATTCTAGAAAGCATCAAATTCAAAAGCAATTACAAACAGCAAACTATGCTTTCACAATCTTTTGACTAGCCTACAGAACTGTTGTGGAACGGTGGAGAAGGCTAGGAAGTGTGGAAAGTGGTTCTATTACACACCTAATTGGTTTTCGCTTAATGTATAGTCCCGCTCTTCTCCCAAGGGAAAAAAATCCCAAACACAGGCAGTCTACCTGCAAAACAGGTCTGCCTGAACTCAAATTCGAGTTGACTATTTCAACTCGGTAACAAGACGACACTCGCAATTTGGTCATTTGCAGTTAAAAGCAAAGATTACAGTTGCTTTGGAACAGCCTCTGAAGATCACGTCAACGCAGAAAAAAGTCAAGGGGGGGGGTTACCAAAGAAAATAACCGGTGTTGCTGAAACATGAAAAAGGCTAGGTTAGCTTTGGTTAAACCACGGAAAATTTCTTCGAGGAATTAGTTCGCCAAATCCTGATAATCTCGACATCTGAGAATTACTTCTTTGGCCACGTAATCCGCTCCACACTAACAATAAATATCTGCCTTAAACTGACTTTCCAAGACTCGGGGTGGGGGGGGGGAGAAAGGTGAGCGCTAAGTTTGTCCACGGAGTGCCAAGTTCCACGCCGCACAGAGCGCCACTCCACACGGCCACTTCACCAAAGTTGCCACCGGTCTTCGCCCCGAGTCCCGGGACACCAGCTCGTCTCCGGGCGCGCGTGACCAGAACCGGGGGTCCGAGGAGCTGGGGCTCACGCCACCGTCCCTCCAGACGCCGTCGCCCTGCCGTCAATCAACACCCCCCCCCACACACACACACCGAGCCCAGGGGACTCCGCGCGGGGGCGCGGCCCGGGCACCGACGGGATCGAGACTGCGGGGTGTCAAGGAGGGGGACCGAAAAACGTCACTCCGAGCACTACTAAGTTGTGTGTGAGTGCGCGCTCGGGGTCCCCAGGGCACGAACCCCCCCTCCCAAATCCCCGGGGGATGGGAGAGAGCGCAGGCAACAGAGCCTCGGCGGGACTCGGCTAAGCCGGCCGCGCTCACCTCTCGAGCCGCGCCGCCTTCCTCCGCCGCTGCCGCCGCCTCCTCCTCCCGGTGAGTGCAGCGGGGTCTGCCCTGTGGAACCACCATACCAGTCCCGCCCGCTGCTGCAGCGCCGCCGCCGCCGCCGCCGCTCCTCAGCCGCCTCAGCCGCCGCTCTTTGTTTCCCCCTCCTCAGGCGCCGCTCC